TTTTTTTTCCTTAATATCAAGTAATTTTTAAAATTGGAGTTATCTTCCTTTGTACATGATTATAGTTGAATCAACTACAATCAATGCTTTATACAATGCAATGTTTAATTTTGCATGCCACTGATATATTAAAGCAATTTTTACCCTTCATTCCTAAATATATTTCAAAGTCTTCTTTGAAAATTGGAGTTATCTTTCTTTGTGCATAATGGTAGTTGAATCAACTACAACCAATGCTTTATACAATGCAATATTCAATTTTACTTCCTACTGATAAATTAAATCAATCTATACCATTCAGTGCTTACAAACTGTTTGATTACCGTTCTAGGGTTATGCCCCTTTACAAATGAAAAAATTGCTGAATTTTTCGTTTCCATTTTCTAACTTGAGTTTGTCTTAAAACTAAATGTAATTTCTAAAAAAATCAATGTCATTATTCAAGTAATTTTTAAATTTGGAGTTATCTTCCTTTGTCCATGATTATAGTTGAATCAACTACAATCAAAACTTTATACAATGCAATGTTTAATTTTGCCTTCCACTGATAAAACAGATCAAATTGAATTTGGGTAGTGTCACTTTAACCATTACTGAGTTATGCCCCATTATAAATTGAAAGATTTTTAGCTTCCATTCTGTAACTTAAGTTTGCCCCAACCAAACATTATGAAACCTATACACAATATTCATTACCACAAAACTAAGATCAAGTACAATTTTTTTGTTTCCGTTCTCTAACTTTAGTTTGCCTCAACCAAATGTTATGAAACTTATACACAATGCTTATTACTACATAATTACAGATTAAGTACGAAATTTGGTGGCGTCACTTTTACCATTCTTGAGTTATGTCCCTTTATAAACATAAAAATTTCCGTTCTCTAACTTTAGTTTGTCTCAACCAAATGTTATAAAACATATACACAACCGTTCTAGAGTTATGCGTGTTTAAAAATAGAAAAATTGCTGAATTTTTAGTTTCTGTTCTCTACTTAAGTTAGCCTCAACCAAATGTTATGAGACTTACACACAATGCTTATTACCACAAAACTCAGATCAAGTTCAAATTTGGGTAGCGTCATTTTTACCATTCTTCAGTTATGTCCCTTTATAACTATATGATATGCAAGCGGGGGCATCATCTATGTCCACATTATTTTTTTAATTACCCCTCTCTATTTTCAACACCCATGAACATTCAAATTGTAGTCACGAACAGCAAAATTTTATGACATAATCTGTAAGCTAAAACCTTGAATTTTATAGATCTGATAAGAAAGCATAAGATCATTATGTAATGCCGTCATGATACCATTTTTTTTTTCAACACATTTAGAATTTACAGATGTATGATTGCATCAAAGGCATAAACCTTGGTACTTAAAAAGAAGAGGTCTTTTTTACCTTGATTAAAATCTTTAATTATATACATGATATATGGTTTAAAGGTTTTAGATAGAAACAATTCTTTGCTCCATTTATCATGTTTATTTGACTGAAGAAATAAACACTGAATTCTGAACTCTTGCAAAAATAAACAATGAATCCAGAATCCCAGAAAATTAAATCATCCATACCAGAGGCACTACAAGTGTAAATCACAAATTCCAGCAAAAATAACGGCCCAAATCCAGACCTTCATTAAAAGGTCCTTCAACCCCTCTATCTAACACACAGTTTAAATTTCAGCACAAATAATGTAACGTCTGAACTTAATCATGTTAATACAATACTGATCAGGTGATATATCATTTTTTTTTCTTTTTCAGTACCATACTTGAGAATATAATTTGAAATGATGCACACAATTCTCCCAGTCTTTGCATCATTTTTGTCTCGCCTGCGATGACATTTTTTGCTTAAGTTAGTTTATTGCGAAAGAAATGATACTTTTCCACAGATTCACTTGATAGTTACCTGTCGATTTAAACTTTTGTAAGTTCTTTTGTCCTATCAAACAAATACAATAGCTATTGTTCTCTGTGGAGTTAATTCAATGGGACCTTTAAATTTCTTCTAAGAGAAATCTATCACTCATTGATTAATTTACCTGAGTAAAAAAATTATCTTCGAAAAGATGAAAATACATGTTTAACATTTAAAAACTGCATGTGATTTTGTATTTATTCAATATCAATAATATATTTTCCATCTGTTGAATGTAAACAGTGATTCAAACATTAATAAAAGTTGATTTCTGACAAAATTCTCAACATTGTTCCTATTTAAATATTTTTTTTTGTGTGTTTGCATGACAAATAAAAACTGAAAAATGATGATGTTTATATTAATTATAATAATAATAAGGCATTCTTAAAAGTATTCAATAACTAAAAAAAAAAAAAAAATGCAAATTTCAATAGGAACAATGCTAAAATTTTGTCAAAAATTAACTTTTTATGATTGAATCAGTGTTAGATTGAAAAAAATATTATTAATATTGAAAAAATACAAAATCACATGCAGTTTTGTCTCGCCTTGACTGAGTCAAAAAGCAAGACATAGGTGTGCTGTTTCCGGCGGCGGTGGCGACGGCGGCGTCAACAATGTATTAGTTTGTGATTAAGTCTAGTTTGTGGTGAACCACTAGTGGTAGGTCAATGATATTTGGTATGCAGTTGTATTAGCATTGGCACATCTCATTACCATGGAGATTATCGGCCCCGCCCCCTCTGTCAAGCTAGGTCTATTGACTTTGAAACTTTTACATAGTTTACAAGTTAATGTTTGTGTTTAGGTTTGTTTAAAGGGAACGACTTATAATAAGTCAATAGTATTTGGTATGCAGTTGTATTAGCATTGGCACATCTTATTCCATGGAGATTGTTTAGCCATGTACCTTCAGTCATGGTTCATCGACTTTGAATATTTGCAGAACTTACACGTTAAAGTATTGCTATTTTAATTTCAACATTTGCATTATCAAAATTACAAAAAGGCGAGACATATCTCTGTGATAACAGTTTATTTAATTTGGAACATGTATTTTTATCTATTTAGCAGATAAATTTTTTACTCAAGTAAATTAATCAAAGAATAATAGATTTCTCTGAGAAGAAATTTAAAGGTCCCAGTGAATAAACTACACAGAGAACATATGCGATTGTATTTATTCAATGGGACAAAAGAAAGTTCTACCAAAAGTTTAAATGACGGGTAACTATCAAATGAACCTGTGGAAAAGTTTCATTTGGTTCGCAATAATAGGAACTACTTGTGATAGATCAATGATATTTTGTATGAAGTCACATTACTATCAGAACATATCAGTTTGACCACTATTTTGAATCCCTGCCCCCTAGGACATGGTCCAGTGACTTTGAATTAATAATCAATTTTCAATGTTAAGTTTTCTGCTATAAGTTAGTGTGATAGGATCTACTTGTGATAGATCAATGATATTATGTATGAAGTTGCATTTCTATCAGAACATATCAGTTTGACAACTATTTTGATGCCCTGTCTCCTAGGACATTGTCCAGTGACTTTAAATTATTTAGCAATTATTAATGTTAAGTTTTTCTGCTCAAGTTATATTGATAGGAACTACTTACAATAAACAACTATATTTTCTATTGGTTACATTACTATCTGTACATCTCAGTTTGTCGACCTTTTTCAGGCCCTGCCCACTAGATCATGTTCCAGTGACTGAATTAATAAGCATTATTGCTGTCCACAGATTGTCTTGTTTTTTCTGAATTTTATGCCGATAGGCTAGACATATCTCTGTCATGTCTGTGTCAACAGTTTATTAGTGAAATATTAGTTAAAAATGATGTTTTACATTTTAATCCTTGTGTTGTCTGTTTTTATGATTTTAGATTGTCCTTTGGTAACTTTGATCTCTCTCTTGTTTTTTTACAAGAAATTTCGTCAGAACACAAACATTTTGGGCCAAATCACTTAAGAAAGAAAAATATTGAAATTGAGATTTATAGGAAAAAATGTCTCACTAGCCAAAAACTTGACTGGATCACAGCACTGACTATGCTTTGATTTATGAAAGCTGAGTTTTTATATTTCAGCCAGTATAGATTTAGAAATCATGAATAAATTTCTAAAGTTCTACAAACCCTTACTATTTTATAAGTAGCTAAGTCTTCTGTGGAAATACCATTAATGTTTGTACTGTAATGCCATGCACTTCCATAAAAAATGGAAAAGTGTTGTAACATGATTGTGTAAAGCTGTATGCTATTAAAGTGGATACTAAACTAAAAATTTATATGTGCAATGGTTGACAAAAAATCTTTAATTTAGAAAATAAACATATCAGAGCATTCATAGATATAGGAAGATGTGGTATGAGTGCCAATGAGACAACTCTCCATCCAAGTTACAATTTATAAAATTAAACCATTATAGGTCAAGGTACGGTCTTCAACACAGCATTGGCTCACACCAAACAGCAAGCTATAAAGGGCCCCCAAAAAATTACTAGTGTAAAACCATTCAAACAGAAAAACCAACGGTCTAATCTATATAAAAACGAGAAACGAGAAACACGTATGAACTACATAAACAGACGACAACTACTGTAATCAGATTCCTACACAAACTACACAAAATTGCACAATTTTCTTGCATTTAGATGATAATTAAATATCACCGTAAAATTTTACTTTACTTCACAATGCCACACAAAAAAAATCTCTCTTTTCATAAATGCTGATATGTTCACCAAACTAAATTGCATATTTGCAGTATGCTTTTCACAAGATTTTAGCAAGCATGCACCATGCAACCTTCTCTTAGCTATAGATATATTACATTTATTTTTTTTCATTACATTATCTTCCCCTTCTATACTAAATTAAACTGGAAATAATGCATCATTTTTATGTACAAAAGATTTTAATATTCATGATATTGATTAGTCATTTTGAATCTATTGGACAATAATACAGCATTAGGTTTTATAGCAACTTTTTCAAAGATTTGTATTATCATGATTATACCGTAGTGTTTATTATTTTTTAATTTCTTGACAGAAACAACACAGTCCTTTTGGGGAGTATGCATAGTTGTTCTTCTGCTTATGTTCACACCAATAGGATTTTTTATTAAATTTGAAATGGGCGAAGTTGACATTAAAGCTGTAAGTATATTATGATAATGCTGCATGCATGATTATTTTATACATGACATGTGCCACTAGTGGAGAAGGATCTGCTAACCCTTCTCAAGCACCTGAGAACCCCCACAGTTGTTGGTTGAGGTTCATGTTGCTCAGTCTTTAGTTTTCTATATAGTGTTTTGAGAACTTGTTTGTTTTTTCATTGTCTTTTGCTTTTTTATTCAACCTCAATTTTTTTAAAGATGTTTGGTTTCCAGATAATAACTTGAGTATAATTGTATGGATCTCTATGAAATTGATCCGCAAGGTTCCATATCAGAAAAGAAAGGTTGGGATTGATTTTAGGGGTTATTGTGCTAACTGTTTAGTATTAAGGGACAAAAAAAGGGCAAAAAACAAGCATTTTTCATGTTTCAGGACAATAATTTGTGTATAAGTGTATGGATTTCTATGAAATTGTACCCCAAGGTTCCATACCAGAAAAAGAAGATTGGGATTGATTTTGGGAGTTGTACGTGGCCTGTACTGTTTAGGAAAAAGGGGCCACATTGAATTATAATTTCTTCTACCTTGTATGAATTGCTTATTTCGTGACCAATTTCAATGGGGTTTAATTCAAAGTCTTGTTTTTTGGGGGGTTCTTTAATATGCTGAATCTAACCCTGTATTTAGAATTTGGTTTTTGGGTCCCATTTTGGTTTACATTAAGGTCCTAAGGGTCCAAAATTAAAAATTATTTGATTTTAACAAAAAATGAATTCAAGGGATCTTTGATATGCCTGATCTAAACATGTATTTAGATTTTTGGGTCCAGTTTTCAAGTTGGTCCAAATCAGGGTCCACAATTAAACTTTGTTTGATTTCAGCAAAAATTGAATATATGGGGTTCTTTGTTACGCTGAATCTAGCCATGTATATTAAGATTTTGGATTTTGGGTCAGTTATCAAATTGGTCCATATTTAGGTCCAATATTTAAACCAGTTCCCTGTTAAAACAGGTCTACATTTTGTACACTGACGAAAATGTTGTATTTGAAATAAACTTTCCACTCTGTTCAAATTAACTCTTTGTACCTAAAGAATCTGCTACTTAAAAAAAAAGTGATTTAATTTGATGTTATTTCTAAACATTACCGAGGTTAATCTAAACAAAGTAGATACAAATGATACGGGTTATGTTTTTCTCATATATTTTATGATGGTATGATACTAAACCCCTAACGGGAGGAATTGTGGTTGATTTTCATATGATGAAGACAAAATCTTTCAATCAGTTTAATTGAGGTCTGGAGCTGGCATGTCAGTAACTGCTCGTAGTCCTTTGTTAATTAAGTATCATTGTCGTTTTGCTTAGTTTTTTTTGTTACCTATTCTGACATCGGACTCTTGACTTCTTTTAAACTGAGTTTTACTGTGCGTATTCCTGTGTGTTTGTTTATTCTACATTAGCTAGAGGTGTAGGGGAGGGTTGAGATCTCACAAAACATGTTTAACCCCACCACATTTCTGTGCCTGTCCAAAGTCAGGAGCCTCTGGCCTTTGTTAGTCTTGTATGTTTTTTTTTAATTTTAGTTGTGAGTGAGGTGAGAGTTTTTTAGCTCCGTATTGAGGTCTCACTGTGACTTTGAGATGAAGAACATCAATAAAAGCGCAGTTCCTTTGCTTTTGTATGTTTTTTTGTTGTGCATTTACTGGTTTTGTGTCATGGATGGATACCCCATATCCTTTGTTTTTCTATCATTTATATGTTTTGGAGTTTAGTATGACGTCCATTTTTACTGAACTAGTACACATTTTTATTTAGGGGCCAGCTGAAGCCCGCCTCCGGGTGCAGAATTTTCTCGCTGTGTTGAAGACTCATTGGTGGCCTTTGGCTGTTTTCTGCTCTTTGGTCGGGTTGTTGTCTCTTTGACATATTCCCCATTTCCATTCTCAATACTGTCTTGTTTGATCATAATATTTGCCTCTATATTTTAAAGCAGTTAATCATATTGCTTTTTCTTTTGCAACAGGGAAGCACAACAACACTTGCTCAACGTGGAAGTATTTTGGTAACTATTATTGGGAATACACTTCCCTATGGTTACAATATGGCTGTGCTGAATAATCCTGCAGTGGTAATATTTTAGATAGTAGTGATTATAATTAGCTAATACATGTACCAAAGCCATCACATCTCACTATAGCTAAAAAAAAATATTTCCTTGAATTTGACAGTTGTAATTAAATTAATCCTACATTTCATTGCATTAAAAACATATATATATACAATGTATTCAAATGCCTGGTATTTCTTAATCATAAGAAATCAGATGGACAAGGTATAATTTGCAGTTGTCACTACACATAGGCAGACATATACATATATTAATTTACAGTGATTGTATGCTTCTAAAAATAGATTAGCATCCTGTAATTATACTAAAGAGATGAGTAGATGATCATTTCTGTACACTAAAAGAATACTTCGTGTATTGTATCAGATATCCTTGTTTAATTCCTACGAGAAGGTAACACCTCCCGAAACGAAAGCTGAATTTTTTCAGCTATAGTTAGAGGAGGGAATAAGGTGTCTGCGCAATGCTAGGTAGTGTTGTCGTAGAAGTTAGAAATAAAAAGTACAGGTTCCAGCCCCGCTCCGGGAGGAAGTAAAGAAACAGATCTACTCTAACATCATTAGGCTGATTTTCTAGGCACTTTATATATATATACCTTGGGTGTTTCAAAGCACCATTCTTTTTTATTTGGTGTTTCTATAGAATATTTTAGAAATATGAGTTTACATGGTTATTAAAGCTTTTATACAGGAAAAAAATGGGTAAAAATTTGATTGGTTAACTTCAAGTGATGGTTATTATCTTATATGCAATCAAATGTTATGTGAAATTTTGTCTGTAATACTGGACAGGAAACTTTACTCATGCCAAGAATTTTTGTATCATCAATGAGCCTATGTGTGTGTCATCATTACAAAATTCCCGATTTAGTATCATTTCATTATCATATTCCAAATTATAATCAAATTTTATTAAGGTTAAATTTGTATAATGAAATTGTAGATGTCGTTTATAATGATTTTAGTTATATTATTTATTATTTACTTTTCAGAACATAATTGCCTATTACAACAAAACTAATGGTAGAATTCCCTCAGAAGTAGAAACCAGAGAGTATGTAGACTGGGATTATGATATAAATCTTGTGTGGTCTTCTGTAAATGCTGTATATGTTTTAGCAGGTTTTATTGGTGTATTGTTTGCTGAAAAGATTGCAGCAAAGTATGGGAGGTTAGTAATTTGAAAAAGAAATTTTTATTGACATTACACCTTATATTGATAAATCAGAAACTCAATAAAAAAAACTAGATACCTCCTAAAAACCTGTTGTGCCAAATTAAAATTATTTGTTTTATTTCAGAATCACAATTTTGATAACTGATCTATGTATTTTTTGTAACCTGTGCATTTGTTAATAGATACATATGTTTGATTATCTTTATAGTGGTAAGCTTCTTTTTTGATATAACTGACATGGTGTATATTTTTTAGGAATGTAAATTATACGTAGATTATTAACAAATACTAACAGCTGTATATATATGTTATTTACTAATGTTAAAAAGGCAGGGATAAGGTACAGTGACTCTTTTCACAAAAAATCTTACGATTAAAATTGATCGTAAGTTATACTGAAATGTGTATGACTTACGAGTATTTTTACTCTTAAGATTTTTTGTGAAAAGAGCCGCTGGTTCTTGATTGATGGTTGGTTGCTTAACGCCCAGTGACGGTTCTTGATGTACAGATTTAGATAAAATATGATATATTTGAAAAAAAAAGTTATTGGCCTGTAGTTATCCAAAAGAAGAAGGGTTGCCTTTTTTATATAACAAAGAGATTTTTGGAGTATTACACTCATTTCTTCATTTTTGATAACATAATATGTTAAAATCTATTAAATTTGTCCAGAATGTTCGATTAAACTGTACACTGAGCCATCAATACAAAAATCAAAACACTGTTAAACAAAGCTAAAATTGGTCACCATATTCTAACATTCAGAAATCTCAAAGTAGGATATAAAATCTGTGGTTATTACAATATCATTCTTTTGATAACAATCATTACTTTTCCCATCCACAAGTGCACTCATGTTTCAAATTCTAAAACTACAAATATTGATGTATGTGCCAGCCTGTTCAAATTCGTTTTTTTTTAACTACTTTAAACTTAAATATCTAGATTCTAACAGGTGGTAAACATGGTAAACTTTGAAATCTGTAGTTGACATAGACTGTAAAATCTAACAATTGATAATTAATTTATTTACTGAACAATCTCCCTGTTTGTTCAGCAACACTAACCTTACAGGGATACTCTGTCAAATGTTGTAGACACAGTATTTTTTATAACAGCATATAGCATACCTGCCAACCCCCCCCCCTTCCCCTATAAAATCTCCTGCTTTCAGATATTTTGACCTGGAATAACCTGCGTTCGTAATTCTCTGGCTTTTTCATTACTTTCAATAGAAATAAAAAAACAATCAACGGTCATTTGAAAACTTTGGTCAGAAGTTTTTATTGTCGAGCCTGCAACTTTTGTCGCAGAAAGCTCAACATAGGGATAGTGATCCGGCGGCAGCGGCGGCATTAACTAACTTCTTAAAAGCTTAATATTTTAGAAGGTAAAAGACCTGGATGCTTCATACGTTGTATATAGATGCCTTATGATATGAAGTTTCCGTCTGTCATATGTCCACTGTCCTTGACCTCATTTTCATGGTTCAGTGACTACTTGAAAAATGAGTTAAGTTTTTTTGTAATGTTAATTTCTCTCTTATTATAAGTAATAGGATAACTATATTTGGTATGTGCGTACCTTGCAAGGTCCTCATGCCTGTCAGACAGTTTTCACTTGACCTCGACCTCATTTCATGGATCAGTGAACAAGGTTAAGTTTTCGTGGTCAAGTCCATATCTCAGATACTATAAGCAATAGGTCTACTATATTTGGTGTATGTAATGATTGTAAGGTGTACATGTCCAACTGGTAGGTGTCATCTGACCTTGACCTCATTTTCTTGGTTCAGTGGTCATAATTTAGTTTTTGTGTTTTGGTCTGTTTTTCTAATACTGTATGCAGTAGGTCAACTATTGTGGTGTATGGAAATATTTTACAATGTTCATGTCAGTCTGGCAGGTTTTATTTGACCTTGATCTCATTTTCACGGTTCATTGCTCAATGTTAAGTTTTTGTGTTTTGGTCTGTTTTTATACGACCGCAAAAAAATTTTGCGGTCGTATATAGGTATGACGTTGGCGTCGTCGTTGTCGTCGTCGTTGTCGGCGTCGTCCGAAGACACATTGGTTTTCGCACTCTTACTTTAGTTTAAGTTAATGGATCTCTATGAAATTTTACGATAAGGTTCAATACCACAAAAGGAAGGTTGGGATTGATTTTGGGGGTTATGGTACCAACAGTTAAGGAATTAGGGGCCAAAAATAAGCATTTTTGTAACTTCCAGACATAACTTGTGTGTTAGTGTATGGATCTCTCTGACATTGTACCACAAGGTTCCATATCACACAGGGAATGCTGGGATTGATTTTGGGGGGTAATTGCCTCAAAATATTAGGAATTAGGGGCCAAAAAAGGGGCAAAAAACAAGCATATTTCTAGTTTCATGACAATAACTTGTGTGTAAGTGTATGGATCTTTCTGAAATTGTACTACAAGGTTCCATATCACAAAGGGACAGCTGGAATTGAGTTTGGGGGTAATTGCCCAAAACGTTTAGGAATAAGGGGCCAAAAAGGGGCCCAAAATAAGCATTTTTCTAGTTTCCAGACAATAACTTGTGTTCAAGTGTATGGATCTCTTTGAAATTGTACCACAAGGTCACTATCACACAGGGAATGCTGGGATTGATTTTGGGGGTAATTGCCTCAAAATATTAGGAATTAGGGGCCAAAAAAGGGGGAAAAAACAAGCATTTTTCTAGTTTCATGATAATAACTTGTGTGTAAGTGTATGGATCTTTCTGAAATTGTACTACAAGGTTTCATATCACAAAGGGAAAGCTTGAATTGAGTTTGGGGGTAATTGCCCAAAATGTTTAGGAATAAGGGGCCAAAAAGGGGCCAAAAATAAGCATTTTTCTAGTTTCCAGACAATAACTTGTGTTCAAGTGTATGGATCTCTCTGAAATTGTACTGCAAGGTACCATACCAGAAAGGGAAGGCTGGGATTGAGTTTGGGGGTGATGAATCATAAGGGGGTTCAAAAAATTTGGGGGTTGGGGGGGTTTTTTTTTTTCCTTTTTTTCATTTTTTTTTCTTTTAAAATTTTCCATTTTAAGTTGGTTATTTCTGTTTTATATTTAAAAGCAAATAATAATGATATGATAGGAGATACACACCAAACAGGATATATAATAAGTATTGTGCAATAGCAAGAAATTTTCAATTGCACAGAATTGCACAATAGCAAGAAATTGTCAATTGTACAGTATTGCGCAATAGCAAGAAATATTCAATTACACAGTATTGTGCAATAGCAAGAAATATCCAATAGCACAATATTGCGCAATAGCAAGAAATTGTTAATTGTACAGTATTGTGCAATAGCAAGAAATATTCAATTGCACAGTATTGTGCAAAAGAAGATACTTCGTATAAATTGCTTATTTCTTGACCAATTTCAATGGGGTTTTATTCTTGAATTCTTGGGGTTCTTTAATATGCTGATTCTAACCGTGTATTAAGTTTTTGGATTTTGGGCCCCGTTTTTAAATTGGTCCACATTGAGGTCCAAAGGGTCCAAAATTAAACTTTGTTTGATTTCATCAAAAATTGAATTATTGGGGTTCTTTGATATGCCAAATCTAACCGTGTATTTAGATTCTTAATTTTTGGTTCCGTTTTCAAATTGGTCTACATTAAGGTCCAAAGGGTCCAAAATTAAACTTAGTTTGATTTTAACAAAAATTGAATTCTTAGGGTTCTTTGATATGCTGAATCTAAACATGTATTTAGATTTTTGATTATGGGCCCAGTTTTCAAGTTGGTCCAAATCGGGGTCCAAAATTAAACTTTGTTTGATTTCAACAAAAATTGAATATATGGGGTTCTTTGATATGCTGAATCTAACCATGTATTTAGATTTTTGATTTTTGGGCCCCATTATCAACTTTGTCCACATTGAGGTCAAAAGGGTCCAAAATTAAACTTTGTTTGATTTCATCAAAAATTGAATTCTTGGGGTTCTTTGATATGCTGAATCTAACCATGTATTTAGATTTTGGATATTGGACCATAATAGGTGAATGTCCAATTTAAAATTTTTAAGTTCTTAGACCACATTCATTCTGTGTCAGAAACCTATGCTGTGTCAAATATTTAATCACAATCCAAATTCAGAGCTGTATCAAGCTTGAATATTGTGTCCATACTTGCCCAAACTGTTCAGGGTTCGACCTCTGCGGTCGTATCAAGCTGCGCCCTGCGGAGCATTTTATTCTAATACTGTATGCAGTAGGTCAACTATATTTGGTGTATGGAATTATTTTACGATGTACATGTCAGTCTGGCAGGTTTTGTTGGCGTCGTCGTCGTCGTCGTTCGAAGACACATTGGTTTTCACACTCTAACTTTAGTTTAAGTGAATGGATCTCCATGAAATTTTACCATAAGGTTAAATACCACAAAAGGAAGGTGGGCATTGATTTTGGGGGTTATGGTACCAACAGTTAAAGAATTAGGGGCCAAAAAGGGGCCAAAAATCAGCATTTTTGTAACTTCCAGACATAACTTGTGTGTTAGTGTATGGATCTCTCTGACATTGTACCACAAGGTTACATATCACACAGGGAATGCTGGGATTGATTTTGGGGGTTATTGCCTCCAATTTTTAGGAATTAGGGGCAAAAAAGGGGCAAAAAAACAAGCATTTTTCTAGTTTCATGACAAAAACTTGTGTGTAAGTGTATGGATCTTTATGAAATTGTACTACAAGGTTCCATATCACAAAGGGAAAGCTGGAATTGAGTTTGGGGGTAATTGCCCAAAACGTTTAGGAATAAGGGGCCAAAAAGGGGCCAAAAATAAGCATTTTTCTAGTTTCCAGACACTAACTTGTGTTCAAGTGTATGGATCTCTCTGAAATTGTACTGCAAGGTACCATACCACAAAGGGAAGGCTGGGATTGATTTTGGGGGTAATTGCCTCAAAATATTAGGAATTAGGGGCCATAAAAGGGCAAAAAAACCAAGCATTTTTCTAGTTTCA